ATTTTTTTTTTGTATTTACCATAGACTAGTACTTACTTACGTCATCGATGACGTCATAATTTAGAAAAAAGTATTTTTCGTTGATTAATTCATAGAGCACATTCGCAATTATTATTGTTATGAAATAAAAAATTTCAATCGGGACCAGTATTACAATATTACCCTGAAAATCAAGACTTACCCTAAAATATACGGTTTTCATGCTATATTTAGGATGACGTCATCGAACAAGGTCAGACAATATTGTCAATATCTATGTTTATTCTTCAGGGTTGTCGTTATGTATGGAAATGGTCTGATAATTCAGAACCGGCTTAAAAAAAAATTACAATATTTCCTACCTGGGGGTTTTTGGGACTGCGCGATTCAATAGCAGTATTTGCAATGTTGCCAAGTTTACCGTTTCTAAGATGTCGTATGTAACTTGATTTTTTTTTAATAGATGCTCCTCTTTATTTTTATTGTAATTAATTCAGCGTCCCAACTTTACTAAAACCCCAAAATGCCAAAACTCCATTTTACTTGGTTTATGAAATATGGCAACACAGATTTTTTGTTGAAAAATGTACAGGGTGGTCATTTTATCTTGATAACATTTTAAACTGTCATAATTTCTTTATTTTTAAAGTTATTTAAATAAATAAAAAAACAGACTGTATGCAGTGGCGGCTCGTGGTATAACATATTGGGGGTGCACATAATTTGTAATTCATAATAAATGCCGAAAGGGGGATGCCCGCCGCAGGCGCCGCCGGAGGCGCGAAATTTTTCGGGGTGCCACGCCACGCCCAGAAGTGTTTATTTTAGGCCTTTAAAAAAATAATTTATTGTAAGTGATCGTATGAGTTATGTGATGTGTTTACCTACCAATAATTAAAAATATTGTTAAGGGATTTCATATCTACCCTACCAAACAACCAACTAAGCTCAATTTAATACTTTTTTCGGTCTATCAAATCGTGGAAATTGAAGGATCTTATATCAATAAACTAGAAATTAAGTAACAAAGTAACTTACCTCACTGAGAACATCGTCCTGGTCTAACAATTGTTTTTATACATAAATGTATCATAGTTTTCAATCTCACAGACACGTTTTGTATTGAAAGATAAGAGTAAGATGTGATTTTGAGTTTTGATGTTTTTTAATTTTTTCGGATTAATGTACTAAATCTTTAACGCCGGATTTTGTCCATTCTGATGCTTCATCGCTTCCAAATAACAAACAGGGAAAACAGTAAAGACTATTACTAACATCACAACCGCACAACCAGTCAGTTTTTTCGTAAGTTTCCATTTTAAAAGTTCGTTTATAATCACGACTTTTGCATTTTGTTATGTTGGTGATTATTAAATTTGGCTTTGGACGGCCGACACATTTGAATTGGATTTTTTCCTCCACAGAAAGCGAAGAAAATTTAATTGTTTTTAAATATTGCACGCTAAGGCTATCGGGGTTCAGAAATCCCGCCATTCTACACACAGTTTTCAGTTAAATCGCGCTCGAAATCGAAATAAATATAAAACAAGCGCTTCCGATCCCAAAGTGCACTGACTACATGTGCACACCAGCCAGCTTAAAACATCGAACGTCGCTAGACCTTCGCGGGGAACAAAGAGTGCGGGGGGGCATAGTTCCACCAATTGGATTTAATATTGAAATGTGCAGTGAACGGGGCGTTCAGGCGACGCGGTGGACGCTGTGATTCCAGCGTTGCCGGTTGCGTTTGTTTTGCTGGCGCATTTGGCCACTAATTTTTTAAATTAATACTTTACAGGTAGAATGTTAAAATTTGAAGAATGATAAAATTAAATTTAAAGTTGTTTGATATTAATTTGGGAGTGCACGTGCACATGTGCTCTTATGGAGGAACCGCCACTGAGTATGGTTCTTTTTCAAGTTTTGGATAGGATGGACAAAAAACAAAAGACTAATATATTTTGACAGTTTTGCACACTAAAAGCATTTTTTTAAATGGAACACCCAGTAAATTTCAAGTTTGTTTAATAATATGTTTCATTCTAATTGCATTATATGCAATTCAATACAATTGAATACAATTCACTTCATATTTACATGCAGAAATGTTTCATTTATTCTAACAACTGCAAATATTGATTACCTACACAGATTACCTGCAAAGGTAAGTAGGTAGACAGAATTTTCCATTAGAATCAATAAAACACTTCTGCATGTATATATAGAGTGAATTGTATTAAAGTGTATTGTATTGTATGTATTGCAATCAGAATGAAACATATTATCAAAGAATTTAAAAATTTACTGGGTTCCATTCAAAAAAATGCTATTTGTGTGCATAACTGTCAAAATATATCAGTCTTTTGTTTTTTGTCTACCCTGTATGTTTTTTTATTTATTTAAATAACTTTAAAAATGAAGAAATTATGACAGTTTAAAATGTTATCAAAATAAAATGACCACCCTGAAAAATATTCCCTACCTACCTGGAGGTTTTTAGAAATGCCCGATCCAATGGTGGTATTTGCAATGTTGCCAAATTTACCGTTTCTAAGATGCCGTATGTAACTGCCTGTAGGGGCATCCATTTAAAATCAAGTTATAGTCTGGCAAGTGGTAACTTGGTAGAGACGAAAGGGGGAAGAAAAGTGGGGCGTAACCTAAAAATATTCACTGACACCTCAACTGACACCACCTGATGACAGCCATGCCTTTCGGTTCAGTGGCACCGAAAACACCAAAGAAATAAACAATAAAATTATAAGAAAAAAAATTCTTTAGTTTCGCCAATAACCACGCCACTGCGTGCTGTCACTGCTGTCGTTCAGACTCTAACCAATAGAATTCATACCTCTAAATGATCACGCCTCCCGACATCCATCATCTCGCAATGTTGTCAGAGTTTTTTCTATTTCAAAATACCACACATGCCCATATTGCCCCATATAGCAAAAAAAATATGTCACCAACTTGTTTATTATTTTTTTCCGTCAAGTTTGGCAAAATAGCAAATTCTTTTGCAGTTCGCCGTTTCGCTAGCTAGACTATACATACGGCATCTTATAAACGGTAAACTTGGCAACATTACAAATACCACCATTGGACCGGGCATTCTCAAAAACCCCCCAGGCAGGGAATATAATACAAATTTTCCAAGATAGAGAGGAAAGTGAGGAGCTCATTATAGGGAAATTTCGAAATTTTCCGGGAAGAAATCACTCCAGGAAAAATTCTGGAAAATTGACTTTTTCAAGTAAAATTAGGGAAAATTCATCCTCTCATATTTCAATTTTTTTCTGAAGAACTGGCAAAAGAGGAAAAAATGGTAAGTCCAGGAGCTCATTATAAAAAAACTTCAAAATTTTGGAATGGAAAATCGCTCCAGGAAAAATTCTGAAAAAATGACTTTTTCAAGTGAAATTGAGAAAAACTCATCCTCTCACATTTCATTTTATTTCTGGAAAACTAATAAAGCAAAACTTGTGAAATTTTTCCAGGATCAAGAAGAAAATAGGGAGCTCATTATAGGGAAATTTCAAAATTTTCTAGTTAAAAATCACTTCAAGGAAAGTCGAGAGGAGAGTTCTGGAAAATTGAGTTTTTTAAGCAAAATTCATCCTTTCACATTTAATTTTTTTTATGGAAAACTAATAAAGCAAAACTTGTGGAATTTTTCCAGGAGAAAGAAGAAAATGCGGAGCTCATTATATAAAAATTTCAAAATTTTCCAGTTCTCCAGAAAAAAGAGGAAAGTGAGGATCTCATTAAAGCAAAATTTCAAAAAACTACTTCGGGGTCGATAACGTGTCTGCCGAAGTACACCTTTCTGATCCTGGCAATAGCTGGACCTTCGGTAAGGACATGGATGGAGGTTTCTTCATCTTTCAGACAGAATCTGCACTCAGGGTCATCTACGATACCCATCAAGTGCAAATGTCTGTTGAGCTGACAGTGTCCGGTGAGGAGTCCTGTTAGCAATACAAAAAGGAATGCGATCGCTTGATTCGTTGGCACCAACGGACACTGTCCAACGATTATCATCTTCGCCTCGCTAGGAATTCCATAGTAATGATAATGAGGTTCAGCTTTTCGATTTTTTTTGCTGGACAGGCGCAGCGCTGTTGTAATCGACTTCCCGCGCCGATCTGAGGGGCCCCATCCGCCCCTGATCAATGTCGATGATTTTCATCCTTTAAAATTGTCCGATTTGTAGCCATTCACAGATTAAAGAACGAGCAAGAGCTAGTGGAGCAGTCTGAGAACAGTACCGAAATTCATGTTTTTCTCATCATCTTTCATTCTGCCGCCGAGTCCACGAATTTGGATTACATCATCAGAGTGCGAGAAAATATTTCGTCGCTGCAGGATAATCACTCCGACACAAAAAATCTTTACCACCAAGGCGAAAGCCGTACTGCATTAGGTGAGTGAGTCTAATCTAGTTATTTAGGTACATTAATTAGAAAAGAGGAAATAAACTCTTTTCCACTGCCATATAGGGGACTCTACATTTTTCAGTTTTCCCCCATTTATTTTGTATCAGGATCGCAACTCCAGAATTTCCTTTGATCTAGTTCGATCAGTATCAGCTGTTCTAGGATTAGTAAACTATCTACGTAGAGCTATAGTTCAGTTTCCGAACGGATGGACCCGCAAATGAATTTTGCCAAATAATGAGATCTCCCAACGACTCAACAATCCTAAACTATGTAATGCAAAAAATGCATAATAAAGCCTTATTGCCTCCACTTTCTACAGGAAATGAAAACATAAAAAATGAAAGAGTTACACAAGTGAGCATGATTCAAAAACACCCTCTCTCTCTGTAGGTAGATACTGCGTAGTGGAAAAAAAATCTGAATTATAATTTATGAGCAAAAGGAGAATCAGGTTACGTTTATATGATTACCCAATGGTACTCTTTTAAATAAAATTTAATTCACTTGTATATTTACATTATAGGCAGCCAATACTTAAATAACGGATTCGTTGCAATTCAAAGAGCAGTGGATATATCTTTTATGGAAATGGAACAAGAAAAACGAAAACTGTCTTCGAAAATCGTTGCTAACACAGCGCAGGAATTTCCTTATCCGCCACATAAAACAGCAGAGGCAATGTATATGTTTCCGGATTATTTACCATATGCTACAGGCTTTAGCTTTGTCCTTATGCTTCCGACATTACTGAACTACATTGGTCTGGAAAAAGTTTCTGGAATGAAGGTGAGAATAATATAGTCTGGCTAGCCAAACGGCGAACTGCAATAGAATTTGCTGCTTTGTCAAACTTGACGGAAACAATAATAAACAAGTTGGTGATATATTTTTTTTTGCAATATGGGCATGTGTAGTATTTTGAAATAGAAAAAAATCCGGCGAAATAGTGGATGTGGAGACGCGTGATTATTCAGAGGCATGATTTTATTTGTTAGAGCCTGAACGACAGCACCAGTGGTGTGGTTATTGGCGAAACTAAAGAATTTTTGTTCTAATAATTTCATTGGTTTATTTTCTTGCTGTTTTCGGCGCCACTGAACTCAAAGACATAATTATCATCAGGCGGTGTCAGTGAATATTCTACGTCCCACTTTTCTACCCCCTTTCGTCTCTACCAAATTACCACTTGCCAGACTCTAGGTATACAGGGTGGTCCATTTAACTTGAGGCAGTCTAATATCTCGAAAACGGTGCGTTTTTAAAAAAAAAAAGTTCAAACAAAAGTTACATGGTATCACGGGGGAAACAAAATGGCGGCACTGATTTTTGACATTAACAACGTTTACAAGGTTATTTCAAAGTCAACTCTTTTTTTTTCAATAGAAACGTATTTTTTTATAAAAGAATCTTATTCTACGGAAAAAAACAAGTAACTTTTACTTGAAGTATTTTTCGATTCGGTTTCAACTTAAGCTGATGAAAAAGAACGAATCATTGATTTTTTTTTCCTCCTCACAAAATTGAAAAGTAGAGAAAGGTTACTATATTAAAAAACTATAACAATTGTTCAAAATGATGACCGCCAACTTCAACACACTTGTCAATTCACTTTAAAACTCAAACAGACAGTTTATCAAGAGGTTCCCACAACACCGGAAATATGATGGAACGCATAAGAAATGCTTAGAGCTGTCAGTAAAGAAACTCTAATTTGGTGCCATGAAAGCTTTTTATAGCGAATTGACAAGTGTGCTGACGTTGGCGGACCTCGATTTGAACAATTGTTATAGTTTTTTACTATGGTAACCTTTTTCTACTTTTAGATTTTGTGAGGAGGAATATTAAAAAAAATTGATTCGTTTTTTTTTATCAGCTTAAATTGAAATTAAATTGTTTTTTTCCGTAGAATAATATTCTGTTATAAAAAAAATATACGTTTCCATTGAAAAAAAAAGTTGACCTGCCAATAATCTTGAAAACGTCGTCAGTGTCAAAAATCAGTACCGCCATTTTGTTTCCCCATGATACCATGTAACTTTTGTTGAAACTTTTTTTTTCAAAAATGCACCGTTTTCGAGATATTAGACTGTCTCAAGTTAGATGGACCACCCTGTATACTACTTTCCAGGATTGTAACGTAAATAACTAATATTTCGGCAATGATTTTGCAGCAAAATAGCCTGCCCATTAAGATCGTGAAATATGTCATGAAAATTTGTTTTTTTTACGAGCGTGCAGAAAATTGAATTTTCCTTCAATTAACCTAGAATACGTCATTGCCTGAACCGAAAACCGAACATACTTTCTGGGATATTTTAAAATATTTATTTATGGCCGGTTCCCAGGGTTGCCAACTTAGTAGATTTTCTACTAAATCTGGTAGATTCAGGTCTTCATTTGATGGGCAAATTTATATTCTATGTAGTGGGCAGTAGAAAATCTAGTAGAATCCGAATTATTATTAAACGACCTCCTATTAGTGTCGCTACATTCGTAACTTTAAATAAACTAAACTATAACTGATAATTCTCCATGTTATTTATAGCATTTTCTAAAAATAGTCCAGAATTAAATTTAGGTACCTATGTATAATAATAGATTATACCACGAGTCAGTAATGCTAGCTATTATTGCGAGTGGTATACTCTACTTTATCAACCAAAAATTAATTTATTTGAGATTTTTAATTAAGCACTCCAAACCACGTGACATTCAAGATGACGTGGCGGCCACACATGAGCCAAAAAAACACAAAAAAATATCTAGTTTTTGCCAGACTTAAGAGTTCACGTACCTAATCAACAAATATTCTATTAAATAATCAAAATCAAAGTTGCAAGCAAGGAAATTGCATCATTATTTTTAATAATAATTAGGTCGGCCAATGGAATTTTCGGATTGCTAGGCAAACGACCGCCTGCTGACGATTTGGGGGATAATTAATAATACTTTGCGGGTGGATCGAATAAATATAAATACCGCGGTTTTAGAAGTAGTTGTTAGTTGTTAGTTGCCAGTTATCAGCTGAGTTGTCAGTTGAGATATGAGTTCGCAGTCCTCTCCAGTTTGAGTTAAAAATTTATAGCACCTAATGAGTCTGTCCGGTTGAAATTCGCGAAAGTTTCTTGTATTGCCTCGGTAACAGTCTTTTAAAAAGTAGCGGAAAGTTTTGAAAGAAAGAACAATTATAGTCTGGCAAGTAGAGACGAAAGGGGGAAGAAAACTGGGGCGTGACCTAAAAATATTCACTGACACCTCAACTGACACCGTCTGATGACAGCCATGTCTTTGAGTTCAGTGGCACCGAAAACACCAAGGAAATTAACCAATAAAATTATTAGAAAAAAGATTCTCTAGTTTCGCCAATAACCACGCCACTGCGTGCTGTCGTTCAGGCTCTAACCAATAGAATCTTGTTTCTGAATAATCACGCCTCTCCACTTCCATGATTTCGCAATGTTGCCTGATTTTTTCCTATTTCAAAATATTACACATGCCAATATAGCAAAAAAAAAAAATATGTCACCAACTTGTTTATTATTTTGTTTCTAATTTCCGTCAAGTTTGGCAAAGTAGCAAATTCTTTTGCAGTTCGCCGTTTCGCTAGCTAGACAATAGATTCGTCAAGATTTATGTGCGTGCTAGCTTAAAAATTTTGAGTAATTAATTAAGTAATTTTACGTGTGCAAAGTAAAATGTAAGTACTTTAGTGTTTAATAATTTTCTGACTTTTATCAATGATTTTGAATGATAAGAAGTGAATTAACAAATGACTTTATAAACTTGACTGATTTTTGCTAGAAATACTTTTGACTTTATAAACTTGAGTGATTGTTACTAGAAAAACTTTTGAGTTTTAATTAACTGTGGAACTTTATTGCATAAATATTAATAACCCGAGTGTTTTATAAAGGGAACATTATTGCATAACTTTAATTGCCTTCAGATATAATGACATTCTAATTTAATATTGCACCAACAATATGAAGGGAATTTATAATGCATTTAACATAACATAAATAGTTTCGATTTGAGTAGGGATTATTAAAGAAGTTTGAACTGGATTGTCTAATTGAAGATTAAGGGCTATAATAACGAACTAATAAGAATTTAAATAATGTTGTACCTATGTTAGGCAGGATGGCGAAAATTAGTAATTGTTCTAATTAAATGGAATAGAAAATTTTGAAAAGAAACTAAATGTTCATGAAATGAATTTTTAATTAGGGATTTTATTTTTTCAAGTAGAAATTATTGTAAGGTTTTATAAGAATAAGTTAGTAATACCTATATTGATAGAAAAATAGGTAATTATTTTGTTTTTTTTTTATAAGCAGGTCCAGTAAAGGACTTAGAAATTTTAAGGAATTTATATAATTAGGTGAAGGGTAGTTTATTAGGAATGAATCGGAAGTATTAAAATGAGTTAACTTATAAGTTATGAGGAATAGTAGGAATAGGGCGTTTCTTTATTTATTAGGGATTTTTCAGTGGTCCGTAATAATAACAATCTAGAACGAATGTGAAGTAATTGATTTTATAGAAATATATGAGGCTGTTAGAATTGGAAGATATTTGGCTGATTAAAAATTTTGGTTTTATGTATAATAAAATATAATTTAGTACACCTCAATAGTTTGTTTCTCTCTCTTGGAAATAGACCCTTCCACAGATTTTAGTTAGCAGCTCCAAGTAAATAAACAGCATCAATATACCGCTCGCCATTTACCATCTCACTAATTACATAGAGTACTTGGAGCGTTTTGCTACAATAGGATGCAAATACACTTAGTGCGCATTGTAACTATCAATCAGAAACGACATTATACTCCTATTGTATACTTTTCCTAATCACAATAGTAGGTACAGTGGGAATCATTGCAATTGGCACACACTCTTTAAAATCCCTCGTATTAAGTCAAAATTCTAACCAATAAATCTATTTAGTGCAGCATTTTGCTATTACTGTGTGTCAGATTTGACACATTACGAGGGATATTTATATAGTGTGTGCCAATTGCAATGAATCCCACTGTACACTTGGCCAAACATAAAACTGGTACGCATTTTCCTATTGTGTTGTATTGTGTAAATCGACCTTCTTTATCACCTCAACAATGACAAAAGGAGTCAAGTCAGTGTCATATTTAAACCAATCATAACATAAAAACATGTTGCATTTCCTTTTGTCCAGCTTTGACAATGACAAAAACTGTCTAGCCTATGTTTTTTAAAGGAGATTTTTTGCTGTTGAGCCTGACTCACACTAGTCATATTCATAATATATGTTTTGCTTGTACCAGTTTTATGTTTGGCCAAGTGTACATATTAGAATAGAATTGTACCATGCCAACTAACTTTGTTAGTTGGCATGATATGATAGTGTCATTGAATCATTTTTTTTAGGAATTAATGAAAGTTGTAGGCCTAAGCAACTGGATGATATGGGTTGGCTGGTTCATACATGTTGTAGCGCCGATGCTGATCATCGTAAGCCTTATAGTAGTTATCCTGAAAGTCATTATTTTTGGCGGCGCCTTTCCCATTGTTGAGTATACCCAAGGAACTATATTGTATGTATTTTTTATGCTCTACATCTGCGCTTGTACTACGCTGTGCTTTTTCATCAGCACCTGTACGAATACACGTGAGTATGTTATTGGACTATAATCTTTTACAAAAAAAAATTAATATTTTCAAAACTTTTGATGGTGATCCTTCTCGTTTACAGCCAACTTTGCAAGTTTGATAGGCGTAATAGTTATTTTAATCTCTTTTTCAATAACGCATCCAATAATTAAAAACAATATCTTATCATTTCCGGCTGGAATGTCGATAATGTTATTGCCGGGAGCAGCGATAAGTTATGGTTATCGAGCGATATCGTATTATGAGTATGGACGTAAGAGACTATAATAAGTTTTCTCAACTTAAGGCTGATAGCTTCCTTTTTAAAACCTATAGGGAATCGATTTGGGAACAGAATACATGCAATTTTGAACAATGGTGTGACCATTGGAATTTTTTCAGCAAATATTGGCTAATCTTGAGAAACATCCATATAATATTAGTGTCGCTTAATCCTCCGTTAATAGAAACACCTTATCGTTGATAAACTTAAGAAAGCGTCGTGTATAGGTGCTCAGAATAAGAATACCTATAAGCATGTTTTTATCATTTTTTTTTTTTTTAAAAAGGACTACCGCCTTACCTTATCAATAATTTATTACTTCACATTGGTTTATATTGTCATGTATTTTAGAGGTTGGATCAAAATGGTCTAACTGTCATATTGCCGCAGAAGGAGAAATATCGCTGCTTAACGTTTTTATTATGCTAATAATCGATTGCATAGTTTATATGTTGCTGGCCCTCTACATAGACGTTGTAAATCCCGGAAACTATGGCATTCCTAGATCTGTATTTTTTCCATTTGAAGAATTGTGGAAGGTAAAAATTACTCAGATCCTCGTTAGTAATAAATTTATTTTAAGTTAACCGATATAAATATAATAAACTACGCGTCAATTGAACTCGAACACCCCAATTTTTGGTCACTTTTTGAAAGGCTATAACTCAAAAACTAGCAGGCCGATTTTGTTCATATTTTCAGGAGTGAAAGGATGCTCTAATTACTATTTAATTTCTAGTTCCTAATAGATTTCCGGCCACCTGGTAAAAGATACAGGGTGAAACATAAGTAGGCGATTTCTTTGCGAAAGTTTGGGTTCACCCCATTCTGCTGGAGGGAGGGTTAAGTAGATTTTTGGTATGCAGTTTAGAAGAGTACCTTGGTACCTCGGGCCGTTTTTGAGATTTTTTGAATATCGCATCCCACTACGATTTTATCTTGAATTATGCGATTTTATGTAAAATATAGCTATTGACGTCATTATTTCTTTCGAAACAGACACTACAATTATGGCGCATGTGAAAACACACTTTAAAACATATTATACAGGATCATACAAAAATATACAGTGTGTCTATTTTTCTAACCAGAGATATCTTTGGTATTAGAGATATGAGGTCGGTTAAATTAGGGCAAAGTCGCGCAATTTTATGGCCAATAAAACGGGGTTTAACACTGGCACCGCTGCTTATAGATATTGCAGGTGGTAAACCAAGAATTACTTCGGTCCGGGATGACAACAGAATTCTTTAACCAGTGCGACAAAACAAAACTCTCAATTCTTCGCGAATAAGGATCGCGTTAGGAATTGAAGCCTCAAAATCAACAAAGACGTCTCCATGAGAGAAATTTAGGAGCCAGACAGCATGTCCATTATTAAAAGCAGTCCATCGACGAGCACGAATAGACTGGGCTAATATTCATAGACAATAGACACTGGGGAGTAGCTGAATGGTAGGGATGTTTGTTTGTGGATGAATGCAGATTCACGCTGTATCAGAATGACGGGCGTGTATTAGTATGTAAAGAAACGCGTGTGAGCTACAAAAAAGAATGCATGGAAAAAAGAGAGGCTTTTGGTGGTGGTGGCGTGACAGTTTGGAGGGGGGGGGGGTGGTTATTTACCGGAATGGGTAGACTGAACTGGTAATTTTAATGAGAGAAAGTATGAATGAAGAACGGTAAGTACCGTGATTTGTGTGTAAAGGCGGTTACACACGGACGTGGATGTCTGAAAACATGTACGCACATACATAAACGCGCGAAAAAAAAAACATCAATGTGTATGCAGAATACCATCGCATTTTCGAATGTGCAAGCGGTAGAAAGACGATCAGGTGAATTTCTTCGCATCAATCGAACTCGAACACCACAATTTTTGGTCCCTTCTTGTAAGACCATAACTCAAAATCTAGCAGGCAGATTTTGTTTAAATTTTCAGAAGTGAAATGCTGCTCTAATTGCTAATTAATTTCCATTTGCTAACAGATTTCCGTCCACCTGCTGAAAGATACAGGGTGAAAAATAATATGGTCTTACAAAAAGTGACCAAAAATTGGGGTGTTCGAGTTCGAGTGATGCGTGGAAATTCACCTGACCGTCATTCTACCGCTTGCACATTCAAAAACGCGATGGTATTCTGCATACACATAAGGCGGTTACACACGGACGTGGATGTCTTAATACATATACGTGCATACATCAACGTGCAAACAACAACGTGCATGGCGCCTTTGTACAGACGCTCGCAAAAAACTGCAGTCTTGCTATCCTTGCTACAGTATTCCGAGTGTGCATACAAAATTGCACATTCAAAAACGCGACGGTATTTTGCATACGCATTGATGTTTTTGTTTGAGCGTTCATGTATGTGCGTACATGTTTTCAGACATACACGTCCGTGTGTAAACGCCTTTACACACAAATCCCGGTACCGTTCTTCATTCATACTTTCTCTCATTAAAATAACCAGGTCAGTCTAACCATTCCAATAAATAACCCCCCCCCCCCTCCAAACTGTCACGCCACCACCACCAAAAGCCTCTCTTACTTCCATGCATTCTTTTCTGTAGCTCTCACGCTTTTCTTTACATACTAATACAGGCCCGTCATTCTGATACAGCGTGAATCTGCATTCATCCACAAGCAAACATCCCTACCATTCAGCTACTCCCCCCAGTGTCTATTGTCTATGAATATTAATCCAGTTTATTCGTGCTCTTTGATGGACTGCTTTTAATAATGGACATGCTATCTGGCTCTTAAATTTCTCTCATGGAGACGTCTTTGTTGATTTTGAGGCTTCAATTCCTACCGCGATCCTTATTCGCGAAGAATTGAGAGTTCTGTTTTGCCGCACTGGTAAAAGAATTCTGTTGTCATCCCGGACCGAAGTAATTCTTGGTTTACCACCTGCAATGTCTATGAGCAGCGGTGCCAGTGTTAAACCCCGTTTTATTGGCCATAAAATTGCGCGACTTTGCCCTAATTTAACCGACCTCATATCTCTAATACCAAAGATACCTCTGGTTAGAAAAATTAGACACACTGTATATTTTTGTATGACCCTGTATAATATGTTTTAAAGTATGTTTCCACATGCGCCATAATTGTAGTGTCTGTTTCGAAAGAAATAATGACGTCTATAGCTATATTTTACATAAAATCGCCTAATTCAAGATAAAATCGTAGTGGGCTGCGATATTCGAAAAATCTCAAACACGTCCCGAGGTACCAAGGTACTCTTCTAAACTGCATACCAAAAATCTACTTAACGCTCCCTTCAGCAGAATGGGGTGAACCCAAACTTTCGCAAAAAAATCGCCTAGTTATGTTTCACCCTGTATCTTTTAGCAGGTGGCCGGAAATCTGTTAAGAACTGGAAATTAAATATTAATTAGAGCATCCTTTCACTCCTGAAAATTTGAACAAAATCGTCCTGCTAGTTTTTGAGTTATAGCCTTTCAAAAAGTGACCAAAAATTGGGGTGTTCGAGTTCAATTGACGCGTAGTTTATATTAATAAATACCAATACATACTTTTAAATATCAAGACAGGAAAAAAAACGGGATTATAATCATATTAGCAAAGTTCAATCCAGAAGATTTATAGCTTGTATTTATAGTAGGTGCATGACTCTTCAGTTTCGTCTTCGCGCCCTGTATATAGTTGTAGGTTAAATTGGGTATTTAGGATGTCGAATCCTGTTTGGGAATGGAAATTGATTCGTTTTTTTTTTGTTCCTCTATTTTTTGTTTCTCTCATTCTAATTGAATCGCGGGTTTTATGCCTATGAATTGATACGGCTTTGCTAAATTTGGCTTTTGAGAATGCGCGCGTTAAACACTGAAAAAGGATAGCTGCAAAGTCCTGACACTGCCGGCGAAAAGTCAGTCGCCAAAAATACTAGGTCCGCTTCGTGTGATTCGAGAAAATAGACCTGCGGTTTTTTCGCTTCTCGCAACCGGTTTAAATCAGTACTCCTTCGCATTGGACTTGAACTTTCTGAAAGAGTTGGCCAGCTGAGTGGAGTTTGGAAGTAAAGCAAGCTAAGGTGAAAAAATATCCTTTTCAGTTTCGATATCTTTCAATTTCAATTTAAATTCTTTCATCGCGGAATAACATTCTATCAGCAACCTGTGGATTTTCTAGTTTTAATTTCGCACATTAATTTGTCACATTCAATATTATACACAGTGTGTAAAAAGTCCCGGAACAGTCAATTATTTTGAAAATAGTGCACAATATAAAAAAAACTTCCTGTATAAAAGTTGAAGGTCTTAATAAAATCTATTGAAATAGGACTTATGTATTTATACAGGGTGGCCCAAAAAGTTGTGCTACACAACATTTTTTTTTAATGGAATGATCCGTTTTTAATTACATTTTCTAATTCCTCTAGAGATTCTAAACAACAATTATGAAACATGTCATATGGCTAAACCTATTAGTTCCAGAAATAATTTGAGTTGAAGGACATAAATACGATAAGTACGATATTACCTACATTTTTCATTGTTTCGAGTTGGTTCAAAATGGTCACCAGACCTAACGCCCCTTGATTATTTTCTTTGGAAACATCTGAAAACTAAAGTGTTTTTGACAAAACCTCCAGATCTGAGCGAATTGAGAAGAAGAATTATTGAAGAATGTGCATCTATTAACCAAGAAATGTTACAAAACGTCATCAATAAATTTTATCATAACCTAGCCTATTCTCAAACTTGAAACATTTTGAACCAACTCGAAACAATGCAAAATGTAGGTAATATCGTACTTATCGTATTTATGTCATTCAACTCAAATTATTTCTGAAACTAATGGGTTTAGCCATATGACATGTTTCATAATTGTTGTTAAGAATCTCTAGAGCAATTAGAAAATGTAATTAAAAAAGGATTATTTCATTTAAAAAAAATGAAGTTTTGTGTAGCACAACTTTTTGGGCCACCCTGTATAATTACAAAAGTCCTATTTCAATAGATTTTATTAAGACCTTCAACTTTTATACACGAAGTTTTTTTATATTGTGCACCATTTTCAAAATAATTGACTGTTCCGGGACTTTTTACACACTGTGTATAAGTTCCCATCCTGACTGTCAAAAAAAAACATTGGAGCTGAAAAAAAAATATGAGAATTTTGTTTTATTTTTTTTTTAGCTCCGGTTCAGGCTGTACCATTTTTTTTTTTTTTTTTTAGTGTTACAAACGGAAAAATGAAAATTTGAGTGCATCAGCCTCGCGATCGTTTGTATTACAAGACGTCGAAAAAGCGAACTTACCCAAAGGCATCCAACTGATAAATTTGGGAAAAGTATACGGCAAGAAACCCGTAGTTAAAAATTTAAACATGGATATATATCAAGATCAAATTACGGTATTGTTGGGTCATAACGGTGCTGGAAAAAGTACCACGATGGGAATGATAACAGGTATGAGTATGGAAAAATATTACCTAATCACTTTGCCACAGCCTACAATCTCTCGATGATGCAAATTGCGAGCCCTTCTAAATGTCGTTGATAACGCTTCTGTTGTTTAGGTTTTGTTCAGACTATTTATTAGATGGTTTATGTGAAGTTTGCACAAAATCGGTCGAGCGGTTCTTCATTTATCACATTTTTTGTAATAAATTAAATATTCAATAAATGGAGGATCATTTTGCTGTCAAATTGAAACTTTTTTCAGCGTTGACAGTACCAGCATGTTGTTATGTCATTAATGTGGTCATTCCATTACTTATCTATATATATCAAAATGAATGCCAGTTTTGGTTGTAATTTTATAACTCAAGAACGGACTCACCTAGCCAAACCAAATGTTTAGGTTTTGTTCAGACTATTTATTAGATGGTTTATGTAAAGTTTGCACAAAATCGGTCGAGCGGTTCTTCATTTATCACATTTTTTGTAATAAATTAAATATTCAATAAATGGAGGATCATTTTGCTGTCAAATTGAAACTTTTTTCAGCGTTGACAGTACCAGCATGTTGCTATGTCATTAATGTGGTCATTCCATTACTTATCTATATATATAAAAATGAATGCCACTTTTCGTTGTAATTTTATAACTCAAGAACGGACTCACCTAGCCAAACCAAATGTTTAGGTTTTGTTCAGACTATTTATTAGATGGTTTATGTAAAGTTTGCACAAAATCGGTCGAGCGGTTCTTCATTTATCACATTTTTTGTAATAAATTAAATATTCAATAAATGGAGGATCATTTTGCTGTCAAATTGAAACTTTTTTCAGCGTTGACAGTACCAGCATGTTGTTATGTCATTTATGTGGTCATTTCAATACTTATTTTATTTATTTATGAAAAAAATTTACTAAGCCCGCATACGGCGCCATGTCTTATAACCGTTACCAAGTTTATTTTGTATTTTGAATACCGCGCCATCTCTGATACCTGGAATGAAGCTCGGCATTGCAGATAGGATAGAACAATGCTGCACAGAACTATTCCGATCAGATAGAGTGGTGCAGAAAGAGTAGGTCAGATAGAGTAGCGCAGATAGACCAGAACAGATGGAGTAGTGCAATGCATGCAGTGCAGATAGAGTGAAATAGGGCTGCGCTAGAGATTTTTTTGTTTTCTTTACATTCTTTGAACATTCCTGTGCCTGAGTTTATTTATTTGGTGGTAAACTTTACAAGAATAATGCCCACAAGCTGCCTAAAAAACGATAATGAAAAATTTTAATTTTAGGTGACTTCTGATCCAGAGAGTAAACATTAATTCTCTTCAACCAAAGCCAAATTCACCATCGAAAAAAACTGAATTTAATTCAGCTAATAGATACATTAACACAACATTTAATAGGTATATTTAATAATTCAGAGGCGGTACGAAGTTCGCCGGGTCAGCTAGTTATACATAAAATATGCTTAGAATTTCTCATAGAATCCAAAAATGTAATAATATAGGGGGTGATCTAGTTGAAATAAAGAAGTTGACGGCACTTGCGGTCAAACCAAAAGCGATAGTCGATTGTTTTTATAGCGAAATTCTGCATCGATATCAATAATATACATCCTCAAAACTTGAAATCGATATTGATATTCATGCCTGAACTAGAGCTTGGTCAGTAATCTCGTGGTCACCCGGTATAGTCTGTGCATCCAGAGGTTACCCGTAAGTTGTAAAACACAGGGCTGACAATAAATTAGTACAAGACCAAGTGAACGAATTTACATAGTTCTATAAAGTCCTTTTTCTAACTAATTTTAAAGTTTTTGAGTTACCTACGTTGAAAATCAATGTCTATAGAGTAGTTGCCTATTTAAAATTTATTCCATGAAAAAATATCACTTGACAAAATTATATTTTAAAGTAACTTTGAAAAATGGTAAAATAGGGCTTGTCAAAGTTTTTGAACAAGATTTATACCGAAATTTCAGTGCTTCCCAAACAAAACAAAATTTTGTGTTAAGTTAGATAATAATTATGTTTTACTTTAATATGTAATAATAATAATAATAATAAAAGTATAATAATCTATACTCAGCATTAGATGAATATATTGCATTTTAAATAAATACGAAATGTAAATACCTATCTGTAAAAATTATATTTCTTCACAAAATTTCTTGACCACAAAACATTTTGAGAATTTCAGGTAGAGCCCGTCCTCTCTTTATATTTAGCATGATTTATAGCCATGCCGTGTTTTACGACTTAGGGGTAAACTCTCGGTGCATAGACTTTATTTATGTATCTCTTTATGTTCAAAAAATGTATTAGTTACTATAAAGTTATGTAGTACACAAAAATCAAGCAGTCTTTCTCCATTATTATTCCAAACCTTTTCGCCATGTTTTCCTATTAGGTTTGTTCCATCCTGCAATAATATTACCGCAATATTATCGTCCGTAACCGCGCAAATGCGACTGCGCAATCAACAACAGTAATATTATACTAAATAACTTAAAAACTTGTTGGAACGTTTTTTCAACTAGTAGTACTCACAACACAAGATGAAAATAACAAAATCAACATAACTTGCATACTTGCAGGTGAATCATCTTCCACCACAATAAGGAATTCTTCTAAACCTAATATAAGACAAAAATCAGATTTATTAACTCTGGGAACCAATAAAATAAAATTACTCAGCTTCTATATAGCAGTCATTTTCAGTAATTTTTTCTGAGATTGACAAGTGTAATGTCAGCATTTTTGACCGGTTGACAGGTCGCAAAACCCAATATTCTGGTATTTTAATTATGTTTCAATAGTTGCTAAGGAATCAATGAATAACAATACGTGAATCACTTTTCCGGCCTAGGCCGGGAGAGTGATTTTCGTACTGCTGAACAATTGGAACAAAAATACAAACGTTTAACAGATGTTTAACCGATCTCAGAAAAAATAGTATGTGTATTTCGGTGGAAAAACACATTCTCGGCCTTCGGTGTTTGCCAGCCTCGGCTACGCCTCGCACATCAACTTACACCGATGGCCGAGAATGTGTCACTTTTCCACCTTAATACACAATATACTATAAATAAACAAAAACTGAGGTTCAGGGTTATGTATTAAGTATTATAGGGTTGTCCAAAAAAAAACCGGAATTTGGTTTTTGTATAATAACTTTTTTATTTATGCGCCGATTTTATTGATTTTAGTTTCATTTGAAAGGGAATTGATCAAGACAGATCGTTCATCTCAAATTTTTGATAATTTTTGAAAAAACAAAATGGCGGACATAGCTAGATTTGGTCAAACTTTAAAATCCGCTGGAACTTTTTTGAGTCGCACTATATTTCTTAACGAGTAAGATTCTGAAAGCTTGAACATTTCTGAAGAGAATGAGAGATCGGCCATTCAAATCCGTCTAAAAATAGCTGACGTATGACAGGATGATGACAGGTATGTTTTTACATCTCGATTTCCATTTTCTTTCGTTTTGCGCGATTCGCTCTTTTTTTGACATTGCTTCGACAATTTGATGTTTGATACACGCATGCGTCTAATTTCAGAACCAACAGTTCTTCCTTTCAAGCAAGAATAATTTGAACCGTAATTTTACTATCCGTAACTCCAGTTGGAACGACGAATTATCAATTATCACCAATTCTAAATAAGTAATTTTAACTGGTTGGAACAGCATTCCACAATTGCGCATGTGTGCCAGTAATATTACTGGAAATTACTGCCGGTTGGAACAAACCTATTACTGTATTATTATGTGCCATCTTTTGTTCCCACTCTGCTGTTAAAATCTCCAAGTATAGTTATTTTTCCTCGTGCATCTTCTGTGGCCATGGTTAAATCTTCCCAGAATGTATCTTTATTACCTATTGACCCGTCTTCTCTTCATTGGGCCATACACAACTATAATAGTTCTTATGCTTTTATTCTTATCTTTAAGTTCCAACACTAATAATCGTTCCGACCAACCTTTCCATTTGCTCGTTTTCTCTTTTATGTCTTTGTGAATTATGCATGCAACACCCGCTGCTGCTCTTTCTTCTTTCTTAATGCCACTGTACACAAGTATGTGTGGCCATTATCCATATTTATCATTCCTTGTCCCTTCTTCTTTGTTTCTGTTATGGCTAGCAGTTTCAAGTCTGTGTTTTATTCGAATTCTTCTTCTAGTTCTTTTTCTTTCCCGAACATACTTCTAATATTCCACGTGCCCATTTTACATATTTCCTCAGTTCTCTTGTTATTACTAACTTCCTTATTCATAGTCCATTCCATTGCTGTGTTGTTTTCCCTATTCCTTTTATTGTCCGTTTGGCTATTCAGTTTTTTGATAAGGTTTTTCCTGTCTTTTTCATTTTTTTTATTTGTTTATTTCATCTCCATTCCTCTGCATTTACCGTTACCTTATTGAATCCTATCTTTACTACTTTTTCTTTTTTCCTTTCCTGGTTTGCAAATATTCTTATTTCTGGTAGAAAGTTCTTGGGTTTAAGGACGGGGAGGTAACCAAAAGAAACTACTTAGCTTTCGGCGACGTTTCGGAACTTTATTTTTCCTTTTTTCAAGCCCTGGAACGGGAGAAATAAGGCACATGAAACGACATAGTAAGAAACATTAAAATGATAGATATACAATCAACGATCTTGTATAAAATAAATTAGTCATTGCTCAGGAGTACTTACTCAAACTGATGTCTCCAGAGCCCCTGATGCAGCCAGGAGAAAAGCACAATACATGATCACCCTTAAGATAGTGACAAATTCTAATTTTTAGGCCAATAATTGACGATTATTGGATTATTATCATTTCCTATTATTATTTTTCTTTTCCTTTTGTATTTAATTTAAATTTGACAAAACAAAAGTTGGGTTCTGTTCTTTTATGCTGTTGTTAAAACAAGGTAGCGTTTTACATTGGCTGGCCACTATGGTACTCTAGTTCAGCAGTGTAGGTAGGTACTCTATATCAAAGGATTCAAGCGTGCATTCGAT